GAACGGGTAAATGTGAGTTTTGCTACAGCGATCATCGTCGCAGTTTTTCTTTCTTTTTACGTTCTGTCACTTAATTCACCATAAAATGAGGCACATCCCACAAACCCAGTTCACTGAAAAGTACATAAGGAGTGTCTTTGGGTTTGGGTGAACATCGGCACTGATGTACAGTGCCCGCCGTGATTCGACGACAGACATCCTCAGCGCGACATCATGGCTGACCGCGAAACGCGCTCTTGTTTACTCTCTGAAGCATAGATTAGAGAGTGCTCTATATTTCTTTGGGATTTTGAACTGAAATAGCCATCTTCAGGATCAGTTTGAGTAGTTAACAGCCTAACTTAAGGCCTAAACGCATCTAGTTTCTGAAGTGCATGCCCTCAAATATAAGGGCCTTTTTCGGGGAGAGTATTTCAAGATCACCTAGGCATTCGTGACGTCATTATAAAATCATTCGAACCCTGCCACTCCATAAACCGTGCAATTATTCAGACCAATAAAGCTGTAATGGTAGAGTCGTTCATATCAGGCGTTCGTGAGCACGATTTTCAGATATAACGGCCGTCGATTGGCTCCCAATGTTGTGCGAGGTTCGATGATGTATCATGATGTACCAACAATGGCGTACCGAAGAGTATATTTCAGTTGTTAATTGCATTTGCGAAGAATAGTGTTCACATAGGCAAAACAGTGGTAATAGGTTTATTCCTCGGAGAAAAACGAGGAGAATAGAGATATAGATGCATTGATATTTCGGCAACGCCCCTGTATCAAAACAAACAGCGAAGTGCATTCACTTCGACTATCTGTCTGTCACCTAATGCACGACGCTCGAAATCTGTGTTTGCTGGCAGTCACCCCTCGGCCCGCACTTCTTAGTCACGCAGCCAGTCGCATGTTTCGTAGCCGGCCGGGGCATCGTGGTCCGCGAGACAGGCACTTGCCGCTGAGTGCTACGGCGGGGAGGTCGTGCGAGCCTACTTACTCTGTCAGATGATGATTTGAAATACAGCATCACCCAAACTATGGGTTTGTCGTGAGTGGATGTGAAGGGAACTGAAATGGAGGAGAACGTGCTTTGCAAAGACCAAAATAGCCCTCGCCTCCCGGTACACGAATGCTTAGTGTTAAACAGTGGGTCTGTTTTGCGGATCAGGTAGAGCCGTGATGACGCGCTGCATGACATGCAGAGTGGGAGCTTTGTACACCAGGAGCGATGCCTCCATCGCATTGAGGGGCAATGGGGTCCGTTGCAAGACGTGGCCTGATCTGGTGCGCTTGGCACGAACGCCTCACACGAGCCACCTAAATAAAGGAAGGTGTAGTTAGATCGGCAAAGAGGGCGACAGAAACGGGATGTTTCAAAAGCAAAAAGTTGTATGCTGTTGGCGTGCTTTCATAGCAAGCGATACATCTGTCTTTGTCTCACACCTCCAGCTCAATTAGGGGTCAGACAGACGCTATCTCTTTGAGACGTTACGTTTAACATAGAGTTACCAGGGAAGAAGGGAAGAGGTTGCCGAGGATCACAGTGCATTACAGTGAGGGAGAGATGGCTGCAAACAGCCGTAAATGCGTAACGTAAGTTGTGGACGGCCCGGGAACACGTAAAAACCATCTGACCCAGAGAGCACACCGTGGCCAACCTGGACGAATGAGCAAGAGTATGGTACTGGACGCTAGTGCCGTCGTCTGTGGGGCAGCTGGCAGACCGACTGGGGACTATGGCCACCGGACGCAAGACGGCGCACCGGTGGCCATAGATCAATCAAAGCGAACCGGCTGGGCGGCGTATCGGCGACAATTAACCCTGCCACCGGCTAAGCTCGGCAGCGAGGAGTGGGCTAACTTGCGGTGTAGCACACGAGCTGGGGAGCTGTTGGGCGTCCATGGGTTTGACGGATGGAGGGTGTCTGATGGTCGCATTGAAACGCTGACTGTTGACAGAGGCTGGTCACGCATCAGCTCACAAATGGAAACAGTGTGTCGACGGGTGTGTTTCGGGCAGATGCGAACTGAAGTTAACATGCATCGGTCAAAATGGGTTGAGTTCGCGGAACTTTTAGGTATACTTCATTAAATCCTCGCCCGGTATATTGGGTGCTCCGGTCTTTCTAATGGGTGCCTTCTGTTGGGTTTGCGGGGACACTTGTGTGTGTAATGGGGCCACCTGTGGATCATTTCGGGCCTCGTGTCGACCAATAGTGCGTGATGTTAACTGTCCTGAGCCTCTTACAGGTCAGATGTTTTCGCCTACGTGCCTTATCCCTCGTCATGGTAGGAGGAGAGGGGGGGGGGGAGAGCTCATGCACCCCCCCCCCCCCTAAGGTCTTTGAGGATGCCTCTCCGTTATGTTGAGCGATTGCGTCCAAGTTTTCAGCAACCTGTGAAGCATCCATTTGTATGTTTCAACACCAAAATCGTGTTCCTAGCTCTCTGGTTTCGGAGCAGTGGCGGTTTCGGAGAACAAAAACTGCACGGCGATATACGGCCGACGCGTGCGACGTGCAGCAACCAACGATGCCGTGGAACGCGCGGCGGACCGACATTATCACATTAACGTAGCGATATGCCATAACTGTATGCTCAAAACACAAAATACACCATTGAGCTCAAAATGGAAAAATTATCACGTCTATTTAAGTTTTGTGGCGCCGCAAAGAACTTCATCGTATGTATAATCCTGCAAAGCTGAAAAGGTGTAATTCTTTGGAAAGTACGAGCTTGGACCTGCCATAATGGGCTCCATTGTTAACCAACAGCTTAAAAACTAGTACCAGTTGCGAGATACCATTGAGAGCGAACCAATGATGTTTTCTGCTAATTCTGATTGCAAACGCGAGGCAGTTCGCAAGTACCTCGCTCATCAGTCTGCGTTAGAAAAACGGTGAATCAGGGCGAGGATTACGGGCCATTCTTTTGAGTCGATGAAAATGCATACAAGACTCGAGAACAACGTAAACACGCGCATGGTCCGCCGATGACGTCGGCAACGATCCTCTCATATTGGGCCCACTCGCTGAGAGCATATTTTCGGCATAGTCGCTACAGTACCACGGGCCGCATCGCTATCAGAACACATTTTACACATGCCAGTTCGAGACCGTGAACAGACCGGCTGTCCGAAGGAGCGATAGTCGTGTAAAATCTCATTTATCAAACCGGGGGACTATCGTGGACTTTGAACCTCTTCTGCCAATGTTTCTAAAAGGCATGTTGCCGAAATATCAACCTAGCTATGCCTTCATTCCCCTGGTTTTTCCGAGGAATAAGGCTAATATTACTGTCTTATCTGCTGAATAATGTTCCTCGCTAATGCACTGAACAGCTTACGTATATTTGCCTGATGTCTTTCAGCGTCTTCAATTTGCATTGGTGTTCATCACCATCGCCAGAGCAGATGTTTATGGATTTTTGTAGTTCCAAACGCATGTTAGTTTTTTCGTTGTTAAGTGGGGGCGCAGTGTTCGGGGACTATGTCACTCAATCTTTTCTGGACAGTTGTTTCTAGACGGGTCTAAGTATTGTCGTACGCAAGTTTCAATATTTCATGACGATTACGAGAGCCATTATTTTGTTTGTCTGTTTGGAGAAAGTGGTCGAGAAGATTTCGTCACATCATCAGAGCCAGTTTTTGGGTAACCGTTATTGATAAGTGTTTGACGCAACCGCCGGCCTACCTCCTCATGGCGATCAAAAATAGCCTCGACCAAAATAAAGTTGGGTTGAAGCACACTAACGCAGTTAATTGTTTCCGGTGTACTACCGGAGACTGTGAAACCCGCAAAGTAATCTACACTGGCCTTGCTGCAACAAGTCCCAGCCAACGTATAGCCATGCACTTGCAGGAGGGGTCAGCGAAAACACGTGCGCGGACACACAGCAACATCACACTCACCAGGAATATGTCATTTATGACCACTACCATGCTTGCGCACACCATAGACCATATGGGCTTCGTGACACTTGAAGCATCATCCATCAGAGACATGATATCCATGAACATAGAAAAAAAGACTGGAAAGTAGATGCATCACAAAAAACAGCTTGCAATCTCATTTATGGTGGTTGTAGTTGGACACTCATGTGGTCTGAGTGATGTCTGGGACCATGCACCTGAGAGCAAAGTGCACACACTTTAGGAGCAGGGAGGCTGAAAAAAAGGAAACTAGACAGAGAACAGCACACCATGACAATAAGCCAACAAAGAGAAGACATATGGAAGAAAGAACAGGACAAAAGTATGAGCAAAGCATTGAACTTGAAATAGCAGCAACAAAGTATAAAGAGAGACCAATCAGTGACCAACAAAAGCATGGACGGCCAGCTAGATCACCAGATATCCCACCACCTAGGCATGTACGTCATATTGAAAATGGACAGTAGCAATTTCCCCCAAAATACTGTCCCTCGTGAACCAGTCCAAGAATACACCCCAAGCTCACCTGCTTCATGATAATTGCTCTCTCTAATTTGGTGATGGTATCACAAATACACTGAAATGAGAGGTGGGGTTGTAAATGGGACCCAGAAGTTATTACCTTTCATGTAAAAAAACAATTATTGTCCATCCATTTCCAAGACTTATCCATTTTTAAGCTGTGAACTTTTTAAGGCGACCTGACCGTATACAGTGTATGGGGCCATGTGGTGTCCCCGATATTTCATCCTGGCTGGAGGGTTGGGTACCCAGAGAATGGAACCCTGTACCTTTGGTTTCCCAGGCGTGCAGTGGTTAACGCGTGTGTGTTAACCACTGCGGACAGCTTTTTGAACTGCTGTCTTAAAAATAAGTTATAAATGCTCTTGAGTGCCACGGAAATGAAAAGGGTTTAGCCGCAGACCTTTACGATTTCCATAGAGCTGAAGTTTGTTTACAGCCTCTAAACCTTGCTGCCATTTTATTGTTTATTTAATGTATACAAACAATATTTTAAACCAATTTTTTTATCAATCCCCAAAATCGCAACATTATCTTCATTACCCGGATACTACATCATGAACATGTCATCTCTTTCCTCTGAACTTCCTTCTCAAGCTTGATTCCGAGTTGTTCAGGCCGGGCACATTGTAAGTCCTGATATTTGGTATATGGAAGGGTATCGTGATGTCGTTTTGCCACACATGTGACATCCGGTTTATGGAATTGACCAACCACCCTCTTTTTTCTTGCAGAAGGAATTCCATCGTGCAGACATGTCTGACGTGGAAGGGTAAGTGCAGCGTGCCGCGAACAGCAGCACGTGGTGTACGATGATTGTGCGACTTAGGCTATTCGAAGTCGGCGTTTGGTAAATGGTTGGCTATAATTTGTGAAATTATGGTTTGGCAATATTGGATTTGTGCTTCCACCATCTTTGCTTGGTGGACTGTGTGGCCAGGGCTGTTGGCATGCCATAAATATCAATTGTGGCTGAATATGTATCATGGCCTAAAGTTCCATGTTGGTGGAATCATGTGGTTTTGCTCCAGATGAAGACCTATAATGCGGGCTATGTTGAATATGTCCAGATTTATAATCAGGCTGTGAAATGAATAAGTTGCATGAGTAATGTCAGATATAAGTGGCATTATGACTGGAATTTTAGAGCATCTGGTTTATGAACTTAAGAGTGAAGCTATTGGTGTCAGTAAATATCTGGGCATTTGTTCATGGTATACATTGGTACCTGATGTTGAAAGAGATGTACATCATTGGTCATTTTAAAGGTGGAACATGTAAAAATTTAAAACTGCTCATCTTAACTCCTAACTTGGAACTTAATTAACTGGGATAGGGAACAGTCAAGTGCTGCAAATGCAGTAACTGTGACCCTGGCATCATTGCTACACATGGTTACAACATTACTCTGCACCAAGAACCATAAAAATGTACAGGGCCAAGGCAACAAGAATTCACTTATATGTCTGTGTATCCAGTCTTCCATACTGTTTGTGCTATCATAATTATACAAATTTGAAGGTTTGAGCATGAATCTATCCATTATTTATGGTATGTTCTACCTTAAACACAACAAATGATATAGAATGCTTCTTTTAACATTAGGCACCAATGTATGCCTACACTGGGCATTTCAGAAAGTAGATTTGAAAAGCCTTGATATTGTCATCTCTGTTTCAAGGAAAAACCACAGGCTGTCATGCTAAATTAAGTTGAAAATTTGGTTGAACTAAACTAAATTCAGTGCATGGGGTACAATGATGTCTGTCAGCATTGAGTATAGTTGATCATTTTCAGCTGGCTGTGCCAGTGCTAAAATTGTGCCTTAAATTGTTATGCACTTTGTGGTTGAACTAGCTGTCTTTGGTACACTGGCACCACTGATTTCAACTTTGTGAATGATGTTTGATGGAATTGAAGTGTTCTTGCAGTCATCTCTAGTAAGAATACCTGTGGAGACTAAAAGTTTCTTATTTTCTGCTAATGATTTGTTTTGTTCCATCTGGTATGATAATTTAACTTTGTTTAGCATGAAACAGGTTTGTAGTCACATATGCCAGTCCCAGCTCACTAATGTTGCTTTCACATCCATCTCAGTGGATGGATTCTCAACTATGACCCAGCTGGTTGCTGCATGAAATAAGTGGTGCTGTTGATACTGATGCCACATAAACTGGGTATGCCAGAGCATGCACAAAGATGCAGGTTCCTTCCACAATGGTCATTTGACAGAGGTACATATGTTACTTCATCATACTTATTTCAATAGTGAGCACTAGTGTGGAGTGTTGTTTGTCTAGCCTTGTGGGAGAAGACACATTGATGAAATAAGTGTGGACTACTGTATGCTTATTTTATTTTTGTAGATGCATTTTCACTCAATTCCTAGTTTGTAGTGAATTTCAGTCCTAGAGATTCAGCACTGTTCATACAATGTTTCCAAATGCATTAATCCCCTTGATGGGCAGTCTGCTTCACATGTTCTTTCTGCTAAAACAGCTAATCTGATGTCAGTCTCAAAGATGTATGCAGTTATTAGATTGGACAATTGGTGAGAACTTGTAGTTTGGTCTTAAGTTTACGATGTCAAGCAGTTTGTGTTGTAGTTTTGAAGAAGTTTTCATTGTTATACCCATTCTGATAGTTCAATAAGTTAGTATGACAAGCAGGCCCTACAGGAGTGCCTACAGCCTTCCTAATGCTGGTCAAAGACATGGGGCTTCCATGTTTTTGACATTGTGACTGTTTGGAGTTCATGTGCCCATAATAATCAACCTTTGTTATACCATGGCATAATAGTAAGACAGTGCTCTAGACAAGTCAAATGAAGTAGCTGAATGTAAGAAAGCCAGAGCAAGCATACTCAAGATTAAAGCCAAACAGATCAAAGTTTAATGAGAAAAAAGTTGAGGGGGGTAAAAATAACAGTCATCAGGGACAGATGATTACAACATGCTGAAGAACAAAAAGACCATAGGGTTTAAACAGTAATCAGAAAGGGATAAATCAGATTGGAAAGCAAATAAGTGGTAGATAAAACAGTAGAAATAGCTTTGCTCCTCAGGAAAAAACAGGGCAGTGGAAATATAGGTGTTAACATTTTGGCAACATCCCTTGATCAAAACAAGTAGAAGTATGTTCCTGCACTATCAATCCATCTTTGTCATCATTCTCCTGGCTTTTCTCTGAGGAATAAGGCTTTTACAACTGTATCTATGTGCATAATGCTCCTTGTAGTTGCACTTACTACTCACAATTTATTGGTCAACAACTTGATGTTGGTAAATACTGACCAGGTAAAGCACAAACAAGCAGGTTGTTAATTCCAGGCTTGGGGCAGCGGCGCTGTATCATCGCATGCTATGTTACGTCCTCTGTGGTTCTGTCTGGCAAAAGGGTGGATGCAAAATTGGTCGCTGGATGGGACTGCATAACTTGGGTGGTTGGTTCAAGCTTCCAGGTGAAGTCAAGCTATGCTTCCAGGTTCCCTGAAGGGCCAAACCATATGGAATGTGTCCTAGGATGTTTGGTGGCCAATCTGCAATGGATACTGACCTTTGTCAGCCATGCCCATGGGAATTTCCTCCAGCCATTTTCTGAAACGATCTCAAGCAACGCAGGTGGCCACGGCGCGAGGTCACAGCAAAATCCCATAATCACAATTAAAATCCCAGCTCGTCACAGATCCCATGTCCTGGTTTAGCTTTGGGGCTCAGACAGGCATGTATCTGGCTCCCAGTATTGGTTCCTAGTTCTTATTTCTCCCTCTGAAAATGAAGTTTCGGATCCTTGGTGGCTGTTATTTCATAAGCTGACACTTCTTAGCTACAGATTCTTGGATCCTATTAGTTGTTTTGCAAACAGCTTGGTTCAGGTCAGGTCAGGTCAAACAGCAGGTCTTGGTTCACACCAGTCCTTTTATAAGTGATAGTGTGGATTCCTGTTTCCCACTGGTTTCCCACTGGTGTTGTGCTGTGCCTAATGTCAATCTCCTCCTCGCACAGAGATGTTGTTCCCGTGGCCCCGGCCCCCGTGATGGGTGGTGAGGTGATGGACATCCACACAGCAGTCCAGGAAGTGCTCAAGAACGCCATGGTGGTGGACGGCCTGGTGCGCGGCCTGCGCGAGGCGGTGAAGGCGCTCGACAAGCGTCAGGCTCACCTCTGCATCCTGGCGGCCAACTGTGACGAGCCCAGCTACGTCAAGCTGGTTGAAGCCCTTTGTGTGGAGCACAATATCCCCATGTTCAAGGTATGTGGCATAGAGATCATTTTGTTGTGGGGAGCGCCAGAAGGCAATGTGAAAATGCAAGGAGTTTGTGGACATGGTTTCCATAGTGATGAGCTTGGTTGGTAATTTTTGGCCATTAGTTTTTAAAGCAATTGGCAGCTTTTACTTGTTATTTTAATTCAAGGGAAACTGGGCAGAAGGTAGCATTTTGCGCAACTGATAAACTGTTGCATGTCAGATAAAGCTAACAGTTTGTTTATTCAGATGTGTTAAAGTGTTGATTTGCCAGCGTGATGCAAGTTGGATGGATGTAGCTTAGGTGTGTCAGGTACTGTCGTTCGCGGCCGACAATGCCAACGTTAGGACGGGCCTTTCTCGCCCCGCCTTTACGCGCAGCCCGCGCCTGACCACCCCGTGTTCGGCTAGGTGGACAACAACAAGAAGCTGGGCGAGTGGTCCGGCCTGTGCAAAATCGACCGCGAGGGCAAGGCGCGCAAGGTAGTGGGCTGCTCGTGCGTCGTGATCCGCGACTGGGGCAATGAGACCCAGGCGCACGACGTGCTCAACGACTACCTGAAGAAGAAGGGCCGCAACTGAGCGCCGCACTTCCAATCTCCGGTAGAGGCGGACCAACCGCCCGGAGACACCCACCCACACGGGGCCGGGAAAATAAACAAAAAAAAGCGGTCTCGTGTGTAGAGAAGGAGGCCCGAGGTCGGCGAATTGAGATGACGTGGGTCGATGACGTCGACGAAAACGCAGGTCTATGGGGGAGGCGCGGACGTTGATCGAACAGGGGTGGGCCTATATATATATATATATATATATATATATATATATATATATATATATATATATGTGCTAAAAAGCTGCTATTTATGCCATCAAGGGACGCCTCACCCTTGGCGAATTTGCCATTCATCAGTTGCTTAAACGTGAGTTTTACGTAACTGTGTATATGAGATCGATCGGGTTTCGGTTCTTGACGGTATTTTGTTTCGGCCTGAGGCGTGGACGTCCGGGGCTAACGGGTCATTGGTCACCGTTAACAACCGCCGCCACCCCACTTGAACACAATCTAACCATACGCCAGCCGAGGTGGTACAGAAACCAATCAGTCTGCTTGTAAATGTATTGGAGCGTTCTTCACCAATGCATAACCATCGTTTTGACCGCGTCGTCGGTCAGGAGACCATGCCGTCACGAGATTCCTCACTTCGCCGCACTCACGTCGGCCCAAGTCCGCGTCCACACTGGCCGCCTCTCCGCGGCACTCGCCTCAGCCCAGCGCCATGGCGCCAGCACGAGGGTCCTCAGGCACAACCAGACGCCGCCCATGCTCACTGCACCTGCTGGTTGGCCGTCTCATGCAGACTCTTGTCCTTGAGGTCGGCGGCGTTGGGCCGCAGCTCGTAGTTGCAGATTGTGACGCCGTGCCGGTGCGCCGGGGAGAACTCGCCGCGCAGTCCCAGGTAATACAGCCGGGTCAGCTCACCGCCGCCCATGTTACCCGGGATGTGGATGGTCAGGTGGTGGACCGACGAGAAAGTCACCACTCTGCAACGGCCGCGTGTAGGCGTGAACGACCAATGGCTAAAGAGGCGCTGAGGTGCGCAGGTCCGTAGCTTTCGTTACGCATTTTTGGAAGTGTGACATCTCCCTCGCGGTTACGCACCGTTTGCACTGGGCGAAAACCGCGTTCCCACGGTTGCGTTGTGTTGAGCGTCACGTTCCAAAAATGTAACGCCTGTTTGGCCCCTACTTGAGCTAAAGGTGCAAATGAAAAAGTACAGGCATGTTGCTTGTCAGTAGAGGAAGCCAGACAGATTTTCAAACAAAACGAAGAACAATACCAGCATAGTCCGCAACCGCGTCTGAGTGCGACGTTCACCGTCCAATGCCCCTTCTTGTTGCCCATTGGTTTCGAACCACGCCCCTCCCCTCTTCATGCGTAACGTAATATATGGAGCCGGACCCCAAGCGTACCAGTGATGTGTGATATGTTATCACGAGGTGTGCCGGCACCAGCCTGGGTGCGTGGGTACGGACCTGGAGCCAGCAGTTTGTGTGACTCCCGTCTGCAAGGCATTCGACACAAGCGACATGGGCGCGCCGCACTCGCTGCAGCAAGCGCTTACTTGGTATTGTACTCCAGCTTTCCCTCGGGGTCGCGGTGCAGCTCGAACTCCTGATCGCAAGCGAGCGCCATGTCGTCGAAGGTCATGTGCTGACGGTTCTTGTAGCTGTTGGCGAGGCTTTTGTCGTGACAGCTGCCCGGTCCCCGCACAAGGAGCTACGCAATCTTCCGTCCGCAAGACCTAGGACCTTGTCCAGAGGGGCCAAGCTCACGCCCCAAACATGGTTGCAGGACAAAAAGGGAGCGTGCTTTTCATGGAGCATGCACCTAGACATTTTGCAGGCCACAGTTTTATCTAAGCGCAGAACTCTCTTAAGACCACAACGCTTAGGCTGCCTGCTCTACACTGGCCTCGTGTCGAAGAGGGATGCGCCTACTGAAGCGGTTCATGACCTGAGGGGGTATACAGATCTAGTACAGAGGTGTCTTGGCCTATGCAGAGAGGGGTCTCATTATCCGGTACGGGGCCTTCCGATTGATTGAGGGGTGGCAGGTTTACCTGATATCTACGCCTCACCAGCCAGCGGCCCCTAACAAAAAACTGGATCTCCTGATCTGGAACAGGGCCTGAGCGGTTGATAAGGCGGGCCTCCTGGTCCAGGAACTGGTCTCTTCAAGCAAGAGGGGCCTTCTGAAGTGTGTTTACCTATATCCGAACCCGAGCCATGTGTCAGTCCCCCTTACGGAATTTCTAACGTATATGGGCGTACGCGGCGAACCAGTGATAGCTCCAAATTCGAGGCAGGCGCGTCGAAGTGGAATGGTATCGGAGAAACGAGGCGTTCTTTCAAGAAACTGCAAAGTTGCGAGCGTCTCCGGTGCACTAAACTCGGTCCTCTCTAACCTGAATTTGGTTCTCCGGCGCGCTAAACTAGAGCAAATTTTTGAGCTGTGTCCCACCCACTTAAGTCCTGCGCAAATTCCTGGTTCAGCTGTGACCTAGATATGACTTTTGTTCGCATATGTGCACCTACAAAACTTCGGTTCGGGTAAGGGGGGGAAAGTGGGGATGACAAATACACATTCATCCCCATTGAGGAGCCCGGGATAAGTAGTGGTAATTGGGCCACTTAGACTGCGCGGTGATACAGCGTCCATCCCAGCAGGCAGGGACGATCTCATTCCCCCCCCCCCCCCCGTCTGTGAGGGAGGGAGGGCCAGGTAAAGTTGAGAATCCTGGCTCACAGTTATGGCTGCTTACAGACGAATTTTGGACGGGTGAGTGCCTTCTTCACCTCCGATCAGTATGAGGCCTTTCAGTTTGATGTTGCCGGTAAACCTGCCAAAATACGAACATTGCAAGGTGCTGGCCTTCGGACCACCACTTCCGTCACTGCCCACGGCTGGGGTCAGCAGACAAGGGCCACACAACACATTTTGTCCAATAACTAAACCGAATAATACTGGGGTCCATAACAGGATCTGCTTGACATTTAACTTGAAAAGCATGTTAACTTAACTTTCAGCAACCTTTAAGTCAATAATTTGTCAACTTTGGTACTTACGGAATATTGAAGAGCAGTTCTTCATCAGCATCTGAATCCACAAACTGAAAGTCAGGCCATCATGTAAGGATGCAAATGTTTCATTGGCCATCCACGAAGTTCGGGGCCATTGGACTATACACTAATATAGAAATTGAAATATCTGGCTTTGTCATCAAATTACAAAAAGGTTAAGGAAAGTCAAGCCAACACAAATTTTGCACAAAAACAAGATGGAGTAATCTGCCAATTCACTCTGCTTACAGGATATGCAGAGCTCTGTTTATCTGGCTTGTACTCCCTCCCTTAATGGGAAGTTTAGAGCAAAAGTGTAGGATGTAGTGCAGCAGTTACAAAGACCTGTTCTCAAACATATTTTTTTGCTGCTCCCACAATGGCCAAAATTATGATGCTTTAACCACCCTTCAAGGTTCAAGTCCGGATGTCAATCTTTCTCAACCTTGTGTATATTACATTGGTTAATAAATGAACAGTGCCCACCTTCTCCTTGTCAAGCCTGTCCTCCCAAGCCTTAAACACATGCTTGCCTGAGTCCTCCTCCTCTTCATTAAGGCATACCACATGGTCAATGTCAATTTTCTGGTACAGGCTGTACATGATCCCCATTTCAGAAGGGTCAATGCCATTGTTTTCATGCTCACAGTCTCCTCCATGATGGTGGTCATGACCACCCATCTTGGGCTCTGGCAGTGCCCACTAGCTAAGGCTGAAAAATATGGTGGGTTTGGTTATGCTGGGTACAACCAGGGAAAACAATGTCAATAAAAAAGGAATAAAGGATGGGGTCAACTTAAACACATTAAACACTGTAAATGAATGGCCTGCATGATAAGGCAACACATGAATATGTGAGGAGACCATGGCTGCTGGAATAAGACGCAAATTCAGGTAATATAGTGCCAATATTAGCAATGAGGAACATCATGACTGGAAGATAAGGGAACAAAAGGGAATCAAACCTGGGGGCCCGGAAATAGTGCATGCGGAGAAAATGGCAGAGGATATTAATAGCAATACAGCAAACAAAGATGGCTCAAAAATAGTTCCAAAAACTGATCAGAGCTGGGGGAGAACATGGAAAATGTGGGCGGCTTATGCAAACATACGCCGGCTCTCACACAGACACGCCCGGGTATGACATCCGACCTAACCCACGTTTATCGATATGCAGGATTTCGTCGGTCGTGCTTGCGCGTTATTTTGTCTTACCTGCGTCGGGTAACGGGTCTCATTTTTATCACCATGACCTTGGATGGTCCTCAACTACTGCAAGTATTTCAAGAAAATGCCGACGTACGTTTCATACGACTTTCCCCGACACAACTTCGCCGATGTTTCACGAGTTCAAACAGGGCACGACGTAACATAATGTGGTTGACTGTTATGTTCTTTCAAAATCTGGGAACAATTATTTCTTTGCGACTTCGTGGTTCGTCCTAGTGTATTTGTGGGCACATAAATAACATTTTGTTATAGGCAGTGCGTTTATGCCCTCCAAACGTAGGACGGTTACACACCGGGCTTCTACGCCCTCCAAAACACAGGGCGGTTACGTACCGGGCTTATGCACCCTCCAAAAACCTTTCAGATGGTTGCACGTGTCAAGCATACACAGATTGGCAGCCTTGGAGGTAAGAAAGTGCAAAAATGCAGAATCTCGTGCGAAAAGTCAGTTCTATGCGTGATGGACATCAAGCGATCACGAAATACGTTAACTCACTCTGAACCAAGGCCATGTAGTAAGGTATGATCATCCGGGGATTTTTCCAGCACTTTCCCTTCACTGTTACCGTGAGGTCACAAAGTCGCAGCCTGGCATCACCTCTCCGCCTGCATTATCTTCGCGTCTGCTACACCGGTGCACTTACAAACAAATGCATCTGGTGATCGCCACAGGGTGCTTTAAGAAGTTTTATCAGGAGATATGAAAGGGGGTGTTTTAGCCACGCTGGGTGCATAACAGCTAACATAGGCCTAAGAACCGAGAGCCTGTGTGCCATGGCACTCCCACTTGCTGAGGATGTCAAACATTGAGTCTATGGC